TTGTTGGTGGCCTGGGGCTTTGCATTATGTTACGTTTCATAGTCAAAGGTAAGTGTATGTGATAGGAAACCCTTTGTTCCTATGTCCTCAAACGTACCTCATGTCTGAGGTTATCAATTAAAAGGATCCCGGTCATTCTTTGTGACTGCGGGCAGACTTGAATGCAGATGAAGGGATAACAATGGATGATGATAAACAATATTAATGGTAAAATAAGGACTGACATTTCCCTCAGCACGGTGAATAGGCACCCTCCTGGTTCAATGCTTTAAGTAATTCAATGTTCTGGCCTACTTTACAGTAACATCCAACTTGACCAGAATGACAGGTCTCCCTGATGCATGTGGATCCACAAGCCAAGGACCTCATTTGTTTATGTTATTTGTTGATGCAGCCACGTTTGAAAATGCTTCTCTGCATCCCTCTGCCGGTTCTCCTGTAGGTCCAACCATGGATTTCTCCTGCTCTTCTGTTAACCTGTTTTCTTCCTCCTTAGTTTATTAGGAGGGAGTATAGGCCAGAAATCTACCCTTGTGAAAATCCTTGTTTTTATAAAGGTAAGTGTTGATGGGTCATTGATGTATTAGGATCTCCACCTAGCTAAATTAAAACTTTAAAATACTTATCTGTTACAATTAATAAAACATTTACAAGGCTGTGCATACGAGAATCATAAATTCACATCCATTAGACCTTCCAGGGGTTTTTCATCAATATAACTTGTCTGTGGTCTGTTAACGTCATGAGTGACGACCGTGACTCGTCTACTAATAAGGTGTTTTCCATGACACACCAAACACCTGTTTATAAGTCCCCATCTATCTAAGATGTTTAGAAACAAACTTTCTCAGAACTTGTTTCTATTTTTCCACAAACTATGAGTCTTCACCCCATTAAACCTTTAAATTCCGTGTGTAATTGGTTTGACCTCTGCTCGTCTTCACCATTTCATCTAATGTGTTATGAACAGGCACTTGTCAATTAAGGATATTGTAGTAGGGGTTAACACTTATGCTCCATATGCTAGGAACTCTATTTTAACTCAATAAACATGCTTTCTATTCAGTCGCACCACATGACCTATTCAATAAAAGCAGGCCAGGAACAGGTCAGTCCTTTCAACGCATGAGAATACAAATACATTCAATTACGGTGCATTTCAGAATGTAACTCAGGTGAAATGCATCAATTTGATTTGCTTGGAAATTTATGCAAGAATCGACCTGTGGGGGACACTTCGGTTGTGTCCTTTACTAAATCTGAAGGTACGGGAGATTGCTTATTCTCTGTCTTTATTTAAAATCAAAGAGGACATGTTTAACCTCCAAAAGTGGGTACTTTAATGGAAACATAATAATTCAGTTTATACCTTAGGAGGCTCTCTTCAGTTAGGACGTAATATTTGAGCTGAAAGCTCCCCTCCTCACTATCCTTGTTTCTACAAAGATAAGTGCTGACGCAGTCAACATCTTCTCTCAATGTCCTTACAACATTAAGCTTTCTAGGCTCAATTACTGTTTTGAGCGGTTCATGAGGCAAAGGGAATAGTTAGCTTATTCTATTATTTCAAGGAGCTGTAACATGTGCATTTTATTTAACACCACTGACTCTGGGGTCAATATTCACAGAATACATGTCTGGA